CCTTTACGTAAAAACTTAAAAAAATTAAAGTTTCGAAGCATAGATTTAGGAATGAAAAGAATTAAGAGTATAAATTAAGAACTAAAAATCTTGTTATATAATTTGAAGGTATTAAGCCTTATAACCTTAAAATTACACAAAAAAATATTTTTAATAATGAAATGGCGCAAAATTCTTAGTAATGTTGAAACTTAACTTGTTGAAACTTGTTACAATTTAATATTATGGTTATAAAATTGATGTATATTTTATTTTATAATTTTTTCAGGTAATAAAAGGAGATGTATGCAAAATGTTTTATTTTTGTTCTTTGTATAACAGTGTTTGCAAGAGCCTGTTACTTAATGTTTATCAAACGCAATAAATTTAGAGAAAAGTCTTGTCCAGCTAAAACAATGATAATATTAGGATCCGGTGGACATACAGCTGAGATGTTGCGAATTGTTAAACATATGAATATTAAGAATTATACACCTAGAATATATGTTCATGCTCAGACAGATAAACTCAGTGCAGAGAAAGTAAAAAATCTAGAAGATAGTAATAAAGATTATAAAATTGTGGAAATTTATAGAAGTCGAGAAGTTCAACAATCATATTTCACATCGATATGGACTACTATGTTTGCTACACTAAATTGTTTTCCAATTATATGGAAAGAAAATCCAGAACTGATCTTGTGCAATGGTCCTGGCACCTGTGTACCTTTATGTATCATAGCATTTTTATTTAAAGTTCTATTTATCACAGAAAATGTTATTGTATTTATTGAAAGTTTCTGTAGAGTTAAAACTTTCTCTTTAACAGGGAAGATCTTATATTATTTAGCGGATCATATTATTGTACAATGGGCATATTTAAGTAAACCTATGTATAGCAGAAGCACTTTTTTATAAGTAAAGATGTTTTTAATATTTTATGATAATTGATATACACTTGATGTAATTTACAGAAAATGACTTGTAGTGATTCTATAATAACAGTTCCTTGGGAATCATTGACAAAAGAATTGGAATATATACCTATTGAAATAAGATTACATTTAGCATCTATAATCAACATATTACAATCATCTGATAAACAAATGTAAATATTGTAAACAGTTTATGAATAATTTTTTATATATATATATATGTTTATTACAAAATTAAAGTTATATATATTTTAATCAATTATTTAAAAGAAAAAACTTATAAATAACTTTATATTATTTAGTCAAAGTAATTGATAAATGCACATAAATTTTAAGTTTATACGTGTAAGCCATATGAGCATTAAAGTAGGAATTTCAACTCTATAGATTCATATTTTTTCATGATTATAATTTTAAATAACATAATGTTCATAAATGTTCAATATACAACTGTAAATTTTTTTCCTATAAGAACTTCAGAAAAATGGATAAATACTTCATTAATAAGGCTGGAAGCTTGTTTAGATCGTACATGGGAGGTATTGAATTCAGGCTATTGGAAAAATGTCCCAATAGAATATAGATATTGCTATTCTTTATGTATTATTATAAAGGTATTGAAATATTACTGATTAATTATTAATATTATTATTATTATCAATATATATATATATATATA